CATGGGAACTGCTGACAACCTGGGTGAAGCAGCCCACTTTCTGCCTGGCAGAGAGGAGAGGGTCCATACATTGCAGCCATCAGCATTAGGGATAGAACAGGTTGGCATATCTTTTTGAGTTGGATCTACTTTTTTTTTTCTCTATCAGAATATAGCTATTAACATTTATGGTTTACTGTTAACAAAAATTAACATAATCGTTAGTTGCTCAGTCATATCTGATTCTTTGCAACCCCATGAAACTGTAGCCTACCAGGCTCCTCTCTCCATGGAATTCTACAGGCAAGAATACTGGAGTGGGTTGCCATGCTCTCCTCCAGAGGATCTTTCTGATCCGGGAATCGAACCCGCCTCCCATGGGTCTCCTGTGTTGACAGAAGGATTCTTTACCACTGAGCCACCTGGGAAGCTGCCAGAACTAGGACCTCTCTCTTAAACTCCCTTACAAAAAGTGAAAAGTGTTACTCATTCAGTTGTGTCTGACTCTTTTTTGACCCCATGGACTGTAGCCTGCCAGGCTCCTCTGTCCATGGGATTTTCCAGGCAAGAATACTGGAGTGGGTTGCCATTTCCTTCTCCAGGAGATCTTCTGACTCAGGATTGAATGGTGGTCTTCTGCATTGCAGGCAGATTCTTTACTGTCTGAGCCGCCAGGGAAGCCCGTTAACAAAAACTCTCTTTTAATACTCATGGTCATGATCCCACTATATAGTTTGTGCCATTTGGAACCTAATAATGTCTTTCCCAGAAAAAAAAAATTAATTGAGAAGTTACCAGGATAAATGAAGATAAAGGAGACACTAATTAGTAGAACTATTTGGATAAAAAGTAGAACTTTTTATCATAGGACTGAAAGATTGCTAAAAATAATCAACAACATGTATACATTTTCTCTGCAAAATAGTATTAAAAGATATCATGATCCCTTTCCTTTCTTCCTTCTTTTGTTTCTTCCCTTTTCTTCTTTCCCTTTTCTGCTCTTTTTCCCTTCCTTTCCCTCTCTTCCCTTCTTTCATTTGTCTTTCCTTCTTAGAAGGAAATGGGTTAGATTGGTTGTAGGTTTGGGCTTGAGGTTTTGTGATTATAAAAGTAACTCACAGATCATGGTGATATGTGTGGATCATGGCTATGGGAATATTTTTAGTCAAAAAACAAATTACTCTGAGCCACCAAGATCTGGATAATGGGTCCATACTCTACAGTGCTCCTAATTTTGATCATATCTGTTATTGAGCTGGTTGTTTGGTTTGGCTACCAATTGCCTTTAAAAGAATGCCTCACATCTTAGAGTGAGAGTCAAAGAAATGCGAACACTGAGGTGCAGGTGGACACTTCATCAGTTAAGAAACTTTTCAATAAGCAACAGATCCCAATTCTGTCCAAGGTAAAAATTAAAAGGGGCCTTTAGGGGAGGGATACTGAGTGGCTGGCAGAATGGATGGTAGACTTGAGGGATGATGCTTGGTGATAGGTGAGGAACAGGCAGCTGTGGGCGTCCAGTGGCAGGGTCTACCTGACTGATCCATCACTTACCACCTTGGGTCACGTTGCTGAGGCTGTGAGTTACAGCAGGGTGTGCAGTCGCTCAGCAGTCCCCAGCCTTTCCTGGCACCAGCATCCAGTTTCGTAGAAGACGGTTTTTCCACCGTTGGAGGTAGGTGATGGTTTGGGAATGAGTCAAGTGCAGTAGGGTTTGCGCTCTGTGAGAATCAGGAGGTAGAGCTCAGGCAGGAATGTGAGCGCAATGGGGAGCGGCTGTAAATACAGATGAAGCTTTGCTGCTCCATCTCAGCCCTGCTGTGCATGATGGTTCCCACCAGGCCACCGTCCAGGACCAGCTCATGGCCTTGGGGCTGGGAACACCCTGTGATAGCTGAAGCTTGATTACCTGACTGGCTTTTGGGATGAGTTGGGGTGGGCCTGGCTTTGTCATTCTACCAAGGTGGAAGAGTACATCTGGGTGCTCAGTAGCCAAAGTGTCCACAGCAGATACAGTTTTCACTTAGAAACAGCACTTGCTAGCAGCTGCTTCCAGTTGTCCTGATTTTCCTTGGATTCTCAATAATCCTGATAGTCTCATCCAATGTGCTTCCTTCCATGGGTTTGGATCATCCTCGGTGGCACAGCCAACTGCCATGTCTCTGGTGCTTTGGTATTCCAAAGCCTTGACCGTCTTGTGGTGGGCTATAATCTCAGCAGCTGTTGAAAACTTCTCAGTGGAATGGTGATCTTTTTCCTTATAGTGTTTGTGTTCTCTGCCTCTTATATGCCCCCAAAGCAAGAAGAAAGCCAAGAGAGAACAAATTATAGTCATTCCTAGGTATCTGCAGGGCCGATACTAACATCCAAGGACCCTGGGTGGGTACTAGCATCCAAAGATGCTCAAGTGTCATGTTAAATGGTGTAGTATTTGCATACAGCCTATGCACATCCTCCTAAATGTGTTAAATCATCTACAGGTTACTTATAACACCTAACACAATGTAAATGTAATGTAAACAGTTGCTGGTGCACAGCATAGTCAAGTTTTGCTTTTTGAAACTTTCTGAATTATTCTTTTCAAAAATTTCAATCTGCACTTGGTTGAATCTGCAGATGCAGAGCCAGTGGGTATGGAGGATTGACTGGATGCTGCAGTTTAAGTCGAAATCTGTAAAACAGAATAAAACATGATTCATAATGGTCTTTATACACTGTTAGTACCTTAATCTTAGCCCTCTTATCTTACTTTTTGCATTTGACAGTTGCGTTTAATACACACACACATATACACACAGTGACACAATTAGAAAACTGTCACTGTTGTTCAGTCAGTAAGTCGTGTTCCACTCTCTGAGACCCCATGCACAGCAGCATGGCAGGCTTCCCTGTCTTTCACTATCTCCTCAAGTTTACCCAAGTTAATGTCCATTGAGTCAGTGATGCTATCCAACCACCTCATCCTCTGTCATCTCCTCCTCCTCCTGTCCTCAGTATTTCCCAGCATCAGAGTCTTTTCTTGTCAATCAACTCTTTGCATCAGCTGGCCAAAGTATTGCAGTTTCAGCTTCAGCACCAGTCCTTCCAATGAATATTCAGGGTAGATTTCCTTTAGGATGGACTGGTTGGGGATCCTTGCAGTCCAAGGGACTCCAAAGAGTCCTCTCCAGCACCAGAGTTTGAAGGCATCAGTTCTTTGGCGCTCAGCCTTCTTTATGGTCCGACTCTCGCATCCATACATGATTACTGGAAGACCATAGCTTTGACTGTAAAGCTGTCATAGAGGTGATGTTTTTCCTTCTTGCAATGGAATCTGATTGGAGCCTGTGTAAGTCAGCGCCCATGGCTGGTGTTCACACGACTGTGTGGTTGGTGGACATGGTGGGGGCTGACATGGTTTCCCACATGTTATTTTGGGCTGCAGAGATAGCTTTCACACTTCAATACAGTGTCAATACACTTGAGAATTCAGAGAGCACTTTCATGACTCTAGGCAAAAACAAGAAGGTCAGTAAATTTGTGTTGCCAATAGATGGGTGAGGCGCCTTAAGGGTATAATTCATCCTTCAAGGCAGTGATTGGGATCTAGTTGGTCACAGAAGGTTTGAAATCCCTTAATGTGGTGAGAGCTGTTCCTTTGTTTCTTTTCCTGTGGAAAAGATTGCCATTTTTAGACTCATTTAGCCAGAGCTATGGGCATAGGAGAGTCTGAGGGAGAATAAGAGGCAAACCTGTGTCTTCTGAAACAGGTTCTATTACATGGTCAGGTCCAAACAGTACCACTGTCCAGGAAAGCAGGCCAGACCCTCCACTACAACAAGAATTCCTGCACACATTCCCAGACTTTGGTTAGGAACTGTGGAGCGTTACTGTGGTTTTATAGTCCATCATCTGTTTACCTTTCCTCATGATTTTTCTTCAGTAACTCTTGTGCTAATTTTCAGGCAATACTGTGTGAATCCACACCTCCAGAAATGGGTCCCTCATAGGTTCAAGCTAAGAGAATGGAAATTACTGGTGAAAAAAGATATTGATTATTGGAAACCTGACTTCATGGAGGTTATTTTTAATTTTTTTAAAATCTATTTTTATTAAAGTGGTGTTGATTTACCATCTTGTGTCAGTTTCAGGTATACAGAGAAGTGATTAATAGTTATAATCAATTATATTAATATTATTAACATATTAATGAGATACAATTATAATTGTATATGACTATACACATATATAATCTTATATAAATATAATCTTATATATGTAATCTTTTATATGTATATGTGACCTTCTTCAGATTCTTTTCCCATGTAGGTTATTACAAGACATTGAGTATGGTTTCCTGTGCTATACGGTAGGACCTTGTGGTCCATCTGCTTTCTATACAGTAGCGTGTATCTGTTAACCCCATTCCTAATTTATCCCTCTGCCCCACTGTCCCCTTCGGTGACCATAAGTTCGCTTCTGAAGTCTGTGACTCTGTCTGTTTTAAAAGCAAGTTCACTTTAATCGCTTTTTCAGACCCCACACGCGTGGTGTCGTGTAGCGTTTGTCTCTCTCTAACCCCCTTGGCTCGGCGTGATGACCTCCAGGCCCTGCGAACGGCGGCTTCACTCTTCTTCTGGTTGAGCACTGTTCCGCCACATGTGTGCACCGCATCTTTATCCGCTCGTCTGGTGATGGGCGTTCAGGTTGCTTCCATGTCTTGCTTGTTGTGAATAGTGCTGCAGTGAACATTGGGGTGCATGTATCTTTTCAAATTATGATTTTATCTGCATAGATGCCCAGGAGTGGGATTGCTGGATCGTATGGTAGCTCTATTTTTAGTTTTTAAAGGAACATCCAAACTGTTCTCCATAGTGGCTGTTACCAATTTACTTTCCTACCAGCCCTGTAGGAGGGTTCCCTTTTCTTCATGGAGGTTATTTTCATCCCTTGCCCACAAACGAATCTGGGAGTGCTTTCAGATGCTAATGTTGGAAAACCCACCGTGATCAATTCAAGAGGAATGAAGTACGTTGGCTCACGTAGCTCGGCACTTCTGGGGCAAGACTGGCTTCAGGCTCTGATTAGAATTGAGCTTCTCCCTGTTTCCCGGCTCTGCTTTTAGAGCCTCTGCCCTGTTCTCACACAGCGCCTCCCTTTCTGGTCGCAGAGGGCTGCCAGACGTGGCCCCGAGCCAGCCAGGAGGAGTGAGCTTCCGGTTCTGGAAGTCCCAGCAGTCTGACTGGCTCTGCAGGGGCCGCGGGCCCTTCCCTGGGTGGTTCGCTGTGGCCACGGAGCAGGTCAGATTAATTGGCTTGGGTCTAGGTTGTGTGCCTCATGCCTGGGGTCTGGGGGTGCATTCACTCTTAGACTACCCAAAGCATATTCCTGTTGGCCCAGTGTATATACAGTATTCTTTAAAAAAAAAAAAAGATAGTTGCTTTATTTTTTATTGAAGTATAGTTGATTTATAATATTGTGCTTGTTTCAGGAAGTATAGCAAAATGATGTAGCATTTTTGCAGAAAGGCAAGCCACTCCAGTATCCTTCCCTGGAAAATCTCATGGAAAGAGGAGCCTGGTGGGCTACAAGTCCATGGGGTCGCAGAGAGTCGGGCATGACTGAGCAGCTAACAAGAGGTCATTAGAAGATCACGGGTATAATTCTTTGTGCTGTATACCACATCCTTGTTGCTTATCTATTTTGTATACGGCAGTTTGTATCTCTTAATCTTATACCCTTAATTTGTCCCTCTCTTTCTAATATAAAATATTAAATAGATAAATAAAAGGATATAAGAAAACATGAATGGTGGCCATCTCTGGCATTGACATTGTAGGTGATTTCAGCATTTTCTTCTTTTGTTTTTACTCCTTTTGTGGCTTCTGAATTTTTAGATGTGAGGGTGTAAAGTTTTTATAAGTAGAAAAATTATCTTAATTGCATTTATACCTCAGTCCTAAAAGAACTTTAGAACTACATTCTTTAATAAAATAATTTAAGATCTTTTCCCTCCTACTTTTTCCTTTGCATATTTTCTTAGAAAATCTTTCTCTGAGATAAGTTAAATATTTGCCTATGCTCTATCATTTATACATTATTTCTTCAACCCATTTGGAATTTCTTTGGGTCTGTGGTATAAGGTGAGACTCTGATTTTCTTTCTCCAAATTAATGAATTTTTAGACAGTTTTGGTTGAAATTTTAATGTCTTCTCCATCGATTTGGAAGGTTTGTTTTCTTGTGCTTTAAAAAAAAAAAAAGAGAGACATCCTTGCCAAATTTCTTCTAGGCAGATTTTCTGTTGATCTGTCAGTAACCCCACGTGGATAATGGAGAGAGAAAGAGAATGTGAAGACTAGGAAAACAGGAAAGAAAGAGCAAATGCTCCTGTGTGGAGAGCTCATATGGTTCTTGGAGGCGTACCATTTCCAAAAATGAAAGCTCTGTAATCATGTGACAGTCCCATTGTTTTTCTTTCCCAAATCTCTCCTACTGTCACACCTGTTAATGTAGGAAGAATTGGCTAATCAAACATGGGAAGTTATTTGCAAGCCCTCTGGAATAATCAGCAAACAGTCCAGCCAAATTCACTTCTTGTCCCACATGGCAAACTTTACAGGCAGAGAATATTTCCAAGGGAAATATTCATTATTGTACAAAGTGGCCCTCATTTGTGCATAAACAAGACATTTAATGGAAATGTGTTTTAATTGTACTTATACTTGCAGAGTACCTGTTTTAATTTTACCAATAAAATTTTATGTTTCAACAACTGTCAGTTGGCACAGTTTTTGATATAGTCTTAAAATGAAAGATTTAAATATGATACAAATATGAAATCATATGAGTAATTGAAAAGAAACTTTCCTAGCATCTCCCATAATAGTGATCCCTGAGAGGAAATTGTAATGAACATATGCTGCCATTCAGGGAAAATTTTTTAAAGACATGACTGTCTTTTGGTGAGTTTGTTAAAATCATACATGAATGCATCCCTGAGGTTATCTCAAATTTAGAAGTTCCATGGGAGTCAATGGGAGTCTTGCTTGGGAAAGCTTACATTTTCAAAGATAATGTTGAATATTTCATACTCACACAAGTTAAGAATACTATGATTTTGCCAATAAAAGATTGTAGAATTTTGTATATTTCAAAATCTTGTTGCCACTCCCCCATTCAGACTAGCTTCTAACATAGCTTTCTTAAGTCACTTCACGCAAATGTCGGTGCTGTTCCTTTTAAAAGACCGGCTGCATTCAGTGCCATGTCCCCGTCACTTTGTAGGAGACAGAATTTCCTGAATGGGCTTGAGTTTTCTCTCTTGAGATTTTTGGACTGAATGAGACCATCTGTGTAGATATGTTTAGCATTGATTTGGATGTTTTTAGAGTCTGTTTAATTGATAATCAAGTCTCAGGCCTGTTGATTAACAAATTTGTTTCTCTTTTAGGGTACTGTGTTTCCCATGCTAAGAAGCAAAATTGCCAATGCCAAATCTCAGAACTCTTTGCAAATTGTATACTTAAAAGTCAGTTGTCATATTTAGTTTGAGTCTTTGTGATAAAATCAGATGCTGACTCCCCATGAGAACTGGAAATGGAAAGGCAATTTCAGATCTTAGATAAAATACTAGAGTGAATGCATGGTCATGGACCAAGTGGGCTTCATGGTTATGAACCTGGAGATGAGTCAGTGTATAGGGCTGTTAAAATTATTTTATAAATATACCACTCTTCTCTGCTTTGGGACTCAGCCATGCAACCAAGGTTGTTACCTCCAGGTTGAATTTTCCTCTTGCTCTTCTATTGTTTCAAGTAGGAACAGTGAAAACATTTTGGATTCTGTTGATTCTCAAATTATCTTTTATTTGGCATAAGGTGCTATATGCTTATGAAAACAAAGTCACTATATTATAATTAATTGAAGATTGCTTATTATAAGCACTTAATAAAAATGCCACAATATGCATTATTTGGGTCAACATTATTTAATGTGTATTACTATATATCTTTTGGAGAAGGAAATGGCAAGCCACTCCAGTATTCTTGCCTGGAGAATCCCATGGACAAAGGAGCCTGGTGGGCTACAGTCCATGGGGTCGCAAAGAGTCGGACACAAGTGAGCGACTAGCACACACAATATATATCTCTGCTCCTCAGTAACAATATTCATTTGTTTGTTTTTTCCTTGTGAGTCAGAATTGTCATAATTTCTGTAACCCCAGGACATTTAAGTACTTGTGATTGGAGCAGGAAGGTGAATAAGAGGGCAGTTAAGAGGTTGGACAAAGCACGATGATGAAGGGTCTCATCTTTGGGTGAAGGGAAGAAGATGTGATCATTTGGTGGGAAGATATTTTTCACTCGTAGGATATGTCATGGTTGACTTTGTTTCTAAAGCTGTCCGGTACATTTTAAAAAGTCTCAAAGGGAGTCATCCATCTGATGACTGGGTTGATGGGGAAACATTGGCACAAATTCAGTCTTCAGGGGCCACTGTTATCAGAGACTGCTGAGAGCTGGGGTCAAGGGGCACTATTTTAGGAAACTCAAGGAGGCAGAGCACTACAGAAAGAAGCTTATTCTAGAACTGAGGCCTGACCTCAGTGACAGGAAGCTTTCTGAAATAATTATACAAGTGAATTTTGCAGAAGCGATATAAAGAACAAATTCCTATTAATATGGAACTTCAGCTATCTATATATATATATATTTTCCTAAATGTCTTAGGCTTGTCATGTTAAGAAGAAACAGGATATATCCCTAGTACAAAAATGACTATGCCACATTTATTTATACATTAAACTAAATGCAAATCTGCTTTTTTTGTTAAAATAAGTATGAATCCTGGACTTGGATCAAGATGGTGGAGTAGGAGGACACAAAACTCACCTCCCTCCACAAAGCACCAAAAATACATCTACGTGAAGAACAATTCTCACTGAAAACTAACTGGAGACTGGCAGAGGACTCATGCACAACCAAGGCTGTGAAAAGATACGCGTGTAATCAGTTAGAAAGGGACAAAGAGCAGTTGGTCAGGACCTGTGCCCCCAGGAGGGGATGGAGAGGGAAAGGTGGTACAGTAGAGACCTTCACTTGGGAGTGAGTGGCTTGAGTCACATATCAGGCATTCCAGTCTTGGGGCTGACACAGGGAAGACCAGCCCCCTTGGCTGATAGGACTGACGGGAGGGTTGCGGGAAGCCTGCATTCTGCTGAGAGGATCCCACAAGTGCTGTCTCACTCCTGCAGCAGAATGGAGATGGCGGACTGGCCAGAAGGGCGGTGACTGGTCTCCTGCAGCCTCTGGTGTGCACCCCGGCCTGCACCAAGTGGGTCTTCTTAACTCTTTGACTACTTGTCTACATCACAGCTCCGCACGGCAGCCAGGGCTGCCCGGGAAGGAGTGTGCACATGAGACGCCATGGTGGCTCAAGCCCTAAAGGGTGTCCGAGCAGACGGGGCATCCGTTACTGAGGCTTTCACAGACGGTGCATCAAAGGTCGATTGCCTCTCTGACTGTGGACACTTCGCCACATCCAGTGCCCTGACCCTCACCAAATACCCACGCTAAGACATATTACAATTAACACAGCAAAAGTGAAAGAGAGGATTCTAAAGGCAGCAATAGAAAAACAGAGTCATATACAAGGGAGCCCTTGTAAAGCTATCAGCTAACTTCTTTGCAGAAACCCTGAAGGCCAGAAGGGAGTGGTATGATGTATTTAAATTGCTGAAAGGGAAACACTGTCAACCTAGGTACTCTCCCCAGCAAGGTTATCATTTAGAATAGAAGGAAAGAGAAAGAACTTCTCAGGTGGGCAAAAACTAACAGAATTCATCAATGCTAAATAAATCCTAAAAGAAAAACTAAAGGGTCTTCTCTAAGTGGAAAGGAAAGGAAAAATCATACCAGTAAAGGAAAAATACATAAAAATATATAAAATATTTTATAAATATATAAAAATATGTAAAGCCTGAAGATCAGTTACTTAAATAAGCTAGTATGAAGTTTCAAAGACAAAGAATTTATAAATCGAGTATAACTAAAATAATCTGTAAAAGGGTAAACATGAAGATGTAAAATGTGACATCAAAAACACAAATTATATGGGAAGGGAGTAAAAATGTTGATCTTTTGGAATGTGCTTGAACTTTAAGGACTCCCGTTTAAAACAGATAGATAAATTTATAGGTCAGCAGACAAACAATAGAGATCAATGAAACCAAGAGCTTTTTTGTTGGAAAGATTTTTAAAAGTTGATAAGCCTTTAGCTAGG